GTATATAAGGGCTATTATGACGTATTTAACGTGTTTTTGTTATTCGTAAATCATGAGAGAAAATAATATATTCTACCCTAAGCCAATGTGTTACAAAAAGTGTATTAGAACTTTGGGGTTTCATTTGGGAGAACATGGATAGTAAAAAAAATAAGGTGCTAAATTTAGAGAGTTACGATTATTTGTTATTTATGAAAGTTGTTATACGAGGTGTTTATTAACATGTTCATAGTGTGAAAATGATAAATTTGCGAAATTCGTGAGGGTGCGACGAGTTTGACGGTGTGACGAGTTTGACAGTGCGACGAGTCAAACTGGTCAAATGATGTTCTAAATTAAATTTCTAAAGTTTAACGTGGTATATAGGGGCTATTATGACGTATTTAACGTGTTTTTGTTATTCTAAATCATGAGAAAAAATAATATATTATACTCTAAGACAATGTGCTACAAAAAGTGTACTAGAACTTTGGATTTCATTTGGGAGAACATCGATAGTAAACAAAAATAAGGTGTTAAATTTAGAGAGTTGCGATTATTTGTTATTTATGAAAGTTGTTATACGGAGTGTTTGAATAATATATTATACTCTAAGCCAATGTGCTACAAAAAGTGTACTAGAACTTTGGATTTCATTTGGGAGAACATGGATAGTAAACAAAAATAAGGTGCTAAATTTAGAGAGTTGCGATTATTTGTTATTTATGAAAGTTGTTATACGGGGTGTTTATTAACATGTTCATAGTGTAAAAATGATAAATTTGCGAAATTGGTGAGGATGCGACGAGTTTGACGAGTTTGACGGTGTGACGAGTTTGACGGTGCGACGAGTCAAACTGGTCAAATGATGTTCTAAATTAAATTTCTAAGGTTCAATGTGGTATATAGGAGCTAGTATGATGTATTTAACGTATTTTTGTTATTCGTAAATCATGTGGAAAAATAATATATTATATCCTAGACTAATGTATTATAAAAAGTGTACTAGAACTGTTTGGAAAAACATGCATTGTAAAAAAAATAAGGTGCTAAATTTATAGAGCTACGATTATTTGTTACTTATGAAAGTTATTATCTTTTGTTAATTATAATTCAAGTGGAAAAAATATCTTCTACCTTGTATCAATATATTACAAAAGATAAAATGTTTATAATTTGAAATGTGTTATTTGTAACTTAGATAAAATGTGTTAAATATGCATTGTCACTTTCAAACATGGTGTAAATGATTTTTTTGAGAGAACATGCATTGTAAAAAGATAAATGCGTTAAAATTAGAGAGATATGATTATTTTTAACTTAAGATACTTATTATATGGGGTGATTATTAATATGTTTACAGTTTGAAAGTGATAAAATCGCAAAATTCAATATGGTATGTCCGGTTTGAGAGGTTTGACGGTGCGACGAATTTGGTGTTGATCTAAATTAAGTGTTGAAGGTTCAATTTGGTGTATAAAGTTTTGACCCAATTAAATACATATGATTAAAATTATACTCGTAGAGTAAACATGATTAAGTATAATTTATTAAAAAGAGTATCACTGAGATACTGATAAATGTTTTTTAAATCATATACAAATAGAACCTACAAAAATAAATTAAACACTCATTGTTAGTTTTGTTTGACTAGTGTGACTAGTTTGACTAATTTTATCACACTAGTCAAACTCGTCAAACTGGTTATGCCCTTCAAATGCGATCAGTGTAACTAGTATGACCACATGACTTTTTAACCAGTTTGACTAATGTGATCATGTGACCATTTCACTAATATGACCCTTTTGACCACTTATATCAGATTAGTCAAACTAATCACACAATTCAAGTCGACCAATATTATTAGTATGACCACTTAACTTCTTGACCAGTTTGATTAGTCTAACTGTGTGCCCATTTCACTAGAATAACCAGTTGAAGGGTGTGACCACTTCACTGATATGAGCATTTGATGTGACCCGTTTAACCAAATTTATCAGACTAGTCAAACTGGTCACACCATTCAAGTGCGACTAGTATGACTAGTATGAC